GTTTAAGGCTCAGGGTTTAGGGTTGACAGTCCAGGGTTTAGGGTTTAAGGTTCAGGGTTTAGGGTTTAAAGTTCAGGGTTTAAGGTTCAGGGTTTAGGGTTTGCGGTTCAGGGTTTAGGTTTAAGGTTCAGGGTTTAGGGTTTACGGTTCAGGGTTTAGAGTTTAAGGTTCAGGGCTTAGGGTTGAAAGTTCAGGGTTTAAGGTTCAGGGTTTAGGGTTTGCGGTTCAGGGTTTATGGTTTAAGGTTCAGGGTTTAGGGTGTACGATTTTGGGTTTCGGGTTTAGGGTTGGGGGTTTAGGGTTTGGGGTTAAGGTTCAGAGTTTAGGGTTTGGGGTTTAGGGGCGGCGGGCTAATGAATGTAGGTACTACTCGTGGTGAAGGAAGTCTTCACCATCCGAAGTCCTAGAATAGTGTTTAGGGCTTGAGGTCTACGATTCCTGAGAACTACAGCGGTATAGGTACCCTGAGTCATGCAATGATCCCTCCATGAACTGTATCTAGGGGTTGCATTTTGCTGTGTATACAGCGTAACTTAGACTAGTTTCAATTCCCAGTTTAAGGCCATGTTGGTACAATTCCCTATATAAGACCACCATTAAGGGTGAGGTCGGGTGAGGTCGCTTTGAATTTCCCAAGTTTATAGGGATCCACTCACTACTCCCTCTTACCCAGACCCTCTAAAAGAATGGAACCTCCGAATAATCCCCTAGCTTCCCCAATGCAGTAATGGGGGTCATTTTGGGGGGCTCCATTTTTGGATCCTTCAGGGGGTCTGGGCAAGCACGCTTGGCAGAGATGAGCCCTGGGCTTCAGGGGTGGGGAGCTCGCGGGCTTTGGGGTCATGAATTTCTTACTGCTGGTTCGTAAGGAATCAGGGAATATAACCCCTATAGAATCCCTATATAACATCTTCCCTTACTCCCTACTAACCCCCAGTAAGTTTTGGGATCAAGGTTTTGCAGTTTGGGGTTGAGAGTTTGGGTTTTTGGGCACAAGGCTTAGCGCTTTGCAATTTGAAGCCTACGGGCTTGGTGGCGGTGGTGGTGGTGGTGG